AATCAATAAATTTATGACACTGAAAACCGTTTCAAGTTATAATTCCCTTCTGAATATCTTAAATGTATATAAAAAAGTAAAATGCAAATTTAATATTAATATTATCACCCTTAAAAAACACCCAAATGTTTCGTTTATTACTCTTAAAACTACGTAATAATTAAGGTAAACAGAAACCATTTAAAATAATTATTATTTGCATGCAGTTGAAGAATATAGGAAAATGCTGAAAGTTTTAAAGATTTTTAATTAATTCCAAAAAGACAGAAAATCGGAAATAATACGAAATGTTTCAGCAATATCTCAGAAGCAATGAAAGTTGCATCAGATATTTGTCAGAATAGAATTTTAGTGATAGCAGTTTAATCAGTCTGCATTGAAATTCCAGTGATAATCAGTGACATACAGATTTAGGTTACTTAGGTTAAAAATGCGTAATAATTAAAAATTTAACCGGGTAAATTTTAAAACCAATTTATTTGAAAACTAGCAGCTTCGCTGCCAGCCTTCGTCTGGCTTTTAAATGTACCGGAATAATGGCTGAAGGGAACACCAAACGTTAAATTTAGAAACTGCGTAGGATTTTACTCTGCAGAACAACTTCATAAAAAAAGTTATTACGTATAACAAAATTATAATGAAATAAGCAATATCCCTTAATACAAATATTAATTATCCTAATAAATAAATTAACCAACTTTCCTTTACAAAATCTTAACAAGTCAAATGGTATAAAGGAGGTTAAGAACTTTGTTTCCTAAAAAAATCAGTCAATCTTAAATATCTTAAAGACAGTGAAATGAGCAAATACATAACATAAAAGAATAGAAAAAACAAAACATTCTGAAAAGCAAAATATAATTAATGATATTTTATCTTATATTTTCAAGAGAAAAATTACAATGAATAAGCTATATCCCTTAATACAAATATTAATTATCCTAATAAAAAATTAACCAACTTTCCTTGAAGAAAAAAATCATGCAAACTTTTCAATATCTTATACAACAGTGAAATAAGCAAAAATAACATGAAAGCAACCCAAAAAACATAAAACTCCGCGCAGAATTTTACTCTACAGAACAACTTTATCAAAAAAATTCAATAAAAATGTATTATATATATTAAAAAATGACAATGAAATATGCAATCTCTTACAGTGACTTAAGAAATACGATGAAAAATTGTTGCCAAACCCATATTTTTTAAAAAATTAAACTATTCAAAATGATGCGATTTCATCAAAAATCTATCAACAACAATAAGACAGGAAAATTGGTGCCAAAATCACATTTTTAAAGATGTGAGATGCGAGAAGTGTACTCGGAAGCTTCATTTAAAAAATCTTTTAAAAATACAAAATATTATCATTTTTCCAAAATTCTTTTTGTGAAAGCATTCGCAAGGATGAAAGTTTAACGTGTCCAAAAATCAAAGAAAAATAAACTGCACATTTTTAAAAGTAAACTTCTTTAGAAAAAATCCCATTGAAAAAATGTTAAGCTCCCTTTGTTAAATAAATTCGTATTTAATCGATTTATTGAAACACGAAATTTATTTTAAGTTCGTAAAATATCTAAGAGCCTGCGTTTCATGACGATGTGAAAATGGAGTGTGTAGAGTAAAATCTCGCTTTCCTATAGTCCATTAAGTTTCAAAATGACGCGATTTCGTCACAAAACATAAAATAAAAAAATTCGAATTCGAATTTCGAAAAAATCGCTTCGAAGTGCACTCAACGAGATAGTTGTTATATGAAGTCGTTGAGTGCACTGGCTCTTGTGTAGATGTACCTATGTACCAAATTTCGTAGCCGTGGGTCTATTAGCTTACGCGCAGCGCGAACGAAAGGCACACACACAGACAGACTCTTTTTTTTATTATATGTAGAGAAGATATGTAGAGATAAGATTCTTTAAGGGAAGGAAACTTTTAAGTTTCGCAGCTGTACCCTGCGGCATTAAGACGGTCATCACGGAGAGTCTAGCCTTTTGCAATTCTCTTAAGAGCTCACATCTACCGAACAATATCTAGTAATCAATCTCACTTAGCGGAATCATTGAAGTAAAATTCTGGAAGGGATGGGAAATAACAAAAGAACTGCTTGACAATTTTCAGAGGTTTAGGGTTATTTTCGCGACATTTTACGGGAAGTTCGGTCCAAAACTAGCGACAGTTTTAAAGGGATTCGCAGAAAATCACTCGACAGGCTAAGGGTTAATATGGTCATATAAATGAGAGGCTTGGAATTTCAGAACTAATATGATGGCCAATATAGCATCTTGGATATATCTTCCTTCGCGGTCAAGTCGTTGCTGCCACCTTCCAGGTACACCTGACATACGCTAGGTCGAGTGTTCTGCGAAATATTAGGAGCTCTCTGCCGAACTGCATTTTGGTAATATTGACATCAGTAAGAGTGTGATTAAAAGCATAAGCTTTCAAACACCCACATAAAAAGCTCTGCTGTAGTTCAGTTTTCGGAGGTTGAATATAAACCAGTGAATGGGACCCAAGCTACAGAAAAATCTTTCGAAGAGTGCAGGAGACCTTTTATTTCATGGGGGAAGGATCTGAAAGCTTAGGCTTTCATTGACATCGTACTTTACAATAGCATCCTTAAATATGCAATTCGTCTGAAGACTGCAAATGTTTCGCAGGACACTCTACATCGCATAGTAACCCGGGAGATTGTAACAATCCCTTGATTGTTATGGAGGACATCTCCAAGATGATGTGTTGAAGAAGTGAGACACTTTTTTTTAATGTAAATCTAATATATCTAGTCTGCCTTAGATTTATGAAACAGTTCACATTTCTTAGTTCAGTTGCATTTTTTGTTCTGTATGGTAAATATGCCTTTCTGCTCTGAAAATGGTTTACATTAACTGCTGTACCCTATGGATCTTGTGTAATTATCTCGTACAGCAGGCACTAACAAAAGCAGACACATAGCGGATCATATTCCCCCGGATAATCTAAATCATGAAAATTGCTAGCACATATCTTTTTGTTTGAATTTGGATTCGAGCGTTTATGTATGTGTGTTACTTTCTAATAAGTAGAATTTGTTTGGGAAAAGTTCCTCATCGTACAAACATTTCTTTTCCAGTCTTCCGTCCAAACATTTAGCAATGTTTTAGAAACTAAGCAAGACGTTGCTTGGAATGATTTGCCTTTGTCTGGAAAGAAAAGCGTTGTATCTTCTCTTCTTCAAGTACTAGATGAAAGTTCTTTGCTTTTGGCTGAAACATCCAGTGATGATGGATCATTTTCTTTAGTTAAAGCTAATGTATGTAAGTATCCAGCAATGTTTCTATGTTCTAAAACTGAAAAAGAAAACTTTTAAAGTTAGTCGAATGCATTTGTTCTAAAGATTAATGTTATTTATTTATCAAAGTTATTTAAATATATGAATAATACTATCAAACCTGCAATACATCATATAAGTGATAGCCAACTAAGACAAATCGAGGACCATCAAATCATAAGAATAAACTGTAAGATTCTGTACTGTGTACTTTTAAGTAATAGTTGAATTTGAAGAATCTTAAGAACTTTTAAGCGAATGATCGCTTGAGTTCGTGATATAGAAAATAACAAGAAGGGTTGAAATAACCCTTTATTATTCGAATAAGGTGTAACAGAACTCCGTCTTGGAGTTGTACAATAAAGCCGACACTCGGGCTTGAACTGAAGAGACTAAGAACTAAACTAAACTAAACTAAAAGATATAGAAGCTATCAAATCTTCTTACAGAGTCGGCCCCTTAAAGCTGATTAACTGCGAAGCTATCAAGGGCCTAAAGTACGGCCGAGCGTAATAATAGCTTAAGAGAGAGTAGCCTAAAAAGGCGGGCGCGTGCTAGCCAGAATCACTCGTTCTCTATAACTGAGCGCCGCCTGACATAGCCACTGACCCTGCCTTTGTTGTAAAAGTCGTACAGTGTTAATAGCATCCTGGCAGAAGGTGAATATTTCCTCCTTGTAAAAATATAAGTATAAATATTACATGGGCATACAAGGCCTGTGTATAAGCATAGATATGTTAATTACAAACATTGTCTTGTACAAGTTACATGTGATAGTTACATAAAATCATGACAGTTATGTGCACATTTAAACATTATCTGAAGTCATGTATACAATACTTTTACTCAGATAACCAAACGTAAACTTGTAATTCAATTACACATTAACTGGATTTTCTATGTCACTTTTAACTGCTTTACAACATTATTTTTAATCAAGTACATACAAAACTGGATAGTAATAATGCTTACATTACAATACTTTTTGCTCTTACAATGCTGTTACTATTCTATGGGGTGAGCTATTTTTCTAATGTTGATTTTCAGTTGTTGTAATACTATTTGACTAAACTGGGTAGGAAGTTATGTGACTCAATTTTCTGATACCTTAGCTGAATCGTGTGGAAAAGTTGCAACTGCTATTACAGTTGTAGTACCTATCGAGGGAATATCTTTGTTACTGTTTAATTACTTGGATATTGTGGCAAAAGACAACTACACTAATCTGCAGCTCCATCCTATCTGCAAGTTGTCAGCTCAATGTGCTCCACTTATATAAGGCCTCTCCCCACCACTTTGATTTGCTATTAAAAATATGCTGCGAAGATACAATTCTCAAGGGAGTGGGAGAATTTCTTAGTACCTTGCTGAGCATAGCCTGATCACCTCCTCTATTTTAGTTTTCGTCTGCTTGTTGCCACAGGTATTCTCCGCCCATTGCGGCCAGTATTCACTGCTTGCCATTTTTAAATGCAGTTTATCGGTTTGTGGGCAGTTGAAGAGCAAGTGATTTGCATCACCTACCGCTCCATAGCCACACAATTCTGATGCTCGTTTGCTTAAGATAATGTGGGAAGGGACCATGGCCAGTGTAGAATTGAGTTTGCGCTCCGCTGTATGTATTAATTGAGCATGTGACTTTCGGAAAGAACTTGTAGGTTCTCCTCCCCGTGCTTTCCCTTTCCTATCTTTTCTGCCATTTTTGTAAAAGCTATTGAGCGTTAATTTTTTAAATAGGACTGCGGAATACTTACTACGTTTTCCAGTCTACTGGAGTCATCGGCTGCAGATTTCGCAAGCACGTCCGCCGCTTCGTTGCCAGTAATACTCACATGAGCTGAAACCCAGATCAGGATAGGTCTGTCATCTGGTGGGATACTTAGAAGAATTTTCTGGATATCTTGCATCAAAGGACTCCTTGTCTTGTGCCCTCGGATGGACTCCAAACTTGAGGCAGAGTTGCTATATATGTTGACCTTTAATCCTAATTGATACTTTGCCAAATTGATGGCTGCTTTAAAATGCAAGAAGCTCTGCCTGAAAGACGGTATTTTTGTCTGCCAGTCGTCTTTCCCAAGTTTTTAGCCACTTCTCCTTCTTGGAGTACACAATAGGCGCAGCCTGTGCCTTTCTCCGTCTTTGAGCCATCTGTATGCTTTCTCATTTAGCGGGGTGTGTTGCATGTATATTGTGTGCGATAAATCTGCATTTTCAGAGTGTCCAAGCATGATCGGCTTGCGCTTCTCATAGTCTGTGTGGTAGAATGCCTTTTGCCACAGAGAGACGTTATTTTCCAGGCGCAATGTCCTTACTAATAGTGATTCTCTCTCCACTAGAAGGTCTAGTGGAGGGATACCCGCCAGCACTTGCAGTGCCGCAGTTTGGGCATATTCTATAACCTTTGCATATGATCAAAAGTTGTACTCTTTGTATGGTGAGAAGCTGCCTCCTCATATAGGTAGTAAGCTTCCTTCCCCATATGGCAGCCCCATATAATATGATCTTTTCTGAGATTGCTGTGTATCAGCTTTTGAGCATAGTGATTGGAGTGCCCCAATGAGGTCCTGTTGTTCTAACCATGGAATTACTAAGCTGATTTATTTTCTGCTTAAGCTCTTTAATATGAGGTACCCAGGAAAACCTATTGTTAATTATAATACCTAGATATTTAAGGTCAGTGACCTCTTTTATAGAGACTCCATTTAGCTTAATGTTCGGATTCCTATTTCGCAACAAATGTTTTAACAAATGTTTAGTTTTTATCTGCTGAGATATTTAATTTGTGATGATTTGCCCAGCTTGCAAAAGTATTGATTGAGTTTTGTACCTTTAACTTAATGTCCGTGCTACCAGAAATGACCAATAAAAAGTCGTCCGCGTACGCCTGGCTACCCACTCCTTGCTGTTGGTCATAGAGCGCAAAGGCTGTGTTCCTTACAAAATTCCAAAGCGTATTCCCAGAAAACCCTGGGGGACAGCCTCTTTCCATCTTGACTTTGAGTACGTCATTGTCCGTTGTAAGCCTGTATCCAACTATCCTGCAAGTAGCTGCGTATAAGATTCAGGATTTCCATTGGGCATTTGATGGATGTCTAGGCATTCGACTACGTCTGGTCACCATAACGAGTCGAATGCCCTTTGATGTCCAACGATATAACCAGTGTGTCCAAATTGTTGTCTTTGTTCTGCTCTATGTTATCTAGTAGTTGATTTTAAGGGCATTGTCTGTAGACTTTCCTGCGCAGAAGCCATATTGTTGTTTCGTTTATAGACGTGTTCCTGTACATGTGGAAATTAAGGCATTGCTAGAATTAATTTTTCTAAAATCTTACTGATTTTAGGTAGTAAGCTTATAGGTCTATATGATGCCGGGTCTGAAGGGTTTTTCCCTGCTTCTGAAAGAGTGCAATTTCGGCTAGTTTCATGCTTCAAGGGAAATGTCCGAGTCGCCAGCAGGCTCTGCATAGTTTTGGAAAAAACCCTGGGAATTCTTTGTGAATTTCTTCAACAATGGTATTATCTATGCCATCGGGACCTGGTGCTTTTTTCTCTGCTAAGGCTTGGATGATATTATGAACTTCGTGTTTTGTAGGAAGAGTAGTATCTCTGTTGTTGCTTTTCCAGCTTTTCCTATTAAACTTCTGCCTATTAAACTTTTCCTATTAAACTTCTGCCTTCTTTTGTGTGAGTTACTAAATCAAATTCTATCTTGTCTGTAACAAAGAATGTTTCTAGGATAGTGTTTAGAGCTTCTGTTTTGCTTTTTGCTTCTTGTTTATTTTAGCGGTAAGTTGTAAGTGTTAAAAATCCTTATTAGTGGCTATTTTCTGTAATGTACCATAGGTTGCTTGCCCGTTACTGCAGTGCTTATGCCCTGACTCTTGTTTCGCTGCCTTGATTTGTTTTTTATATTGAGCTAGTTCCTTCCTGTAGCGTACCAACTTTGATATTTTCTGTTCTTCATCATTCTCCGCTTGCACCTGTCTTCTCAGGGCTCGTATTTTGCTTCTTCTTTCCTTGAGGTGGTTACTCCACCACGATGTAAATGTTTTCGGCTTAATAATTCTAAGTTTGTATGAAGCTCTTGCTGCCTGAGTTAATTTAGTTATGATGAAGTCATATGTAGTATCCAGCTCCTCCGGGGAGTCGCAGTTATCCAGTTCCAGTGAATAATTTTGGCAGCAGAAAAATTGAATTTCGATTCTTGTGTCGCTCAACATTGTTGGTCCGAAAATGACACGTTCAATTTTTCTGCTGCCAAAATTATTCAAAAAACATCTTCCATTGGAGAACTGGATTTTCTAGAGGCATTTCACATTCAAAAAAATCTTTCTGTTCTAGTTAACGATCCTAATTCAAATCCATCTTTGCCTTCGGCCTTTAAAGAAATTATGTTTCAATTCTGGTTTCACCAACAGATGGCGCCACTTGCTTATTCTTGTCCATGCTTTCTTATCTTATTTAATCATTATTTCCTATCTTGTTCATTTGCGATTTTGCAGCTGAGGATGGTGGTTCGGTAAAACCATCGAAACTAGTCCTGTGAAAATTTTGAAAATATAACGCTGATTTTTGTTGTTTGACTTCTGAATTAGTATTTCTTCGGCGTGTTATTGTGTCTGAATTAGTATAGTTAGGTTTATTTTGAAACTCAAGTGAACAAGGTACATTAGACAGTAAGAAGATACTATGGGATTCTCTCAAAAGCCCTCAATTTCATCACTCGTGCATTTTCTCGTGATTTGCTTACAGTACTAGAAGACTGGAGGCTGTGAAATTTTAACCACTTGTAAAAGAAATTTTTCAGACAGTTTTATATACACAACTGACAATTCTAGTATTCGGAATTACAAGTGATTGTATAAAATAAGTGTAATACGTGGTTCATAATAAATTGAATGGTGGGCTGCATATGGCCTGAGGGCCGCTATTTCACGCTTACTGTTTTATAATGTACTAATGTGCTCTGAATTGAATATTCAAGAGCATTACGCATTGTATTTAATTAAATTGATAAGTTGTAATTTGAAAAATATTTTTTCCCCTTTCTGAAACGCGAATTTGGCGTTTGTGGTTAAAAATACAGATCTTGTATCTGCATGTTTGCAGATACAAGAAATGTACATCATTTGAAAATCACTAACAATTCGTATTTTTACATACTGTATTTTACTTTTGTGACCTAAAGTTTCAAAAAGACTTATAATGCACTTAAAATATATATACTCATCGGGCATAGCACAAGCCATTTTTTAAAATATGAAATCAAACTAATAATATTTTGGAAGTTCTAGTAAAATTACTAATATTTAACTACTGTCCTTTCTTTCTTTTTTTCAATCATGTTTCCAAACCTATACATAATTAATTTTCTCCACAGAAACTGTAAAAATCTGACGTATAAAAACTGTTATGTAGGAAGCTCACTAAACTAATATATATATATATATTTTAACAAATGGCGGGCGCTTGCCTATAACGGCATTAACCACTACTAAGGCCAGAAGTAGTAGCCATTTTATCATGGAGGCACCTAATGGGCGGCCACCGTTACCTCCTATGAAAGGAGAAACAATTTTACATCCATGCCTTGTCCGGTATTCGAACCCGGGCCCTTTGGTATCGCAGTCAGGCGACCCTAACCACTATACAGTCTGGGCGGCTACTAAATGTTGTACTACTTAAATATTGCCAGTATTTGCATCTGAAGAACTTCATTTTCGTGTCGATTATGTACCGCTTTATCATGCCGAAAATGTATGCATATAAATGAGCAATTAAATGATAATAAAGAAAATTAGTGTAGTTTATAATTTAAATAGATTATACTCACAAAACTCGAAATCAGCGCACAAAGATATAATACTAGATGTTATGTAAAACACAGTACTGGAGATTAATGATATGCATAGTCGCAAAAACACAACTAAAGGACAATTATTAGACAACGGTAGACTGATCTTCACTTGCTAGACCAGCGATTCTCAACCGATGGTACGCAAGAGAAAAATAGGTGGTACGCAAAAGAAACACAGTATTTTTAAATATTAAATTCAAAAATCTCGTGAAGAAAAAGAACAATTGATAGAAATTTCCTGTTATCAAACTTTAAATGAAAATTTCAAAAATAACACACTTGTTAACTTTTGGCTGAACCGAAGAAAAGAATTTAAAGGCATTACAAATAAAAGTTGCTAAACTTTTATTGGCTTTTCGTACAATCTGTTTGTGTGAACAAGGATATTCTTCCATGTTATATTTGAAAAATAAATACAGAACAAAATTAAAAGTGATCTTAATTTACGGCTAAAACTAAGTGAAATAATACCAGACAAAGAAATTGATCTCTCTTAAACAAACCCAAATTTCGCGCAAAATTTTAGAATTAAAGTAAACTTAAATTTTGATTATTAAAATGGTAACAAATTTTTAATCTAATATTTTTATGTGTGCATATTTAATACTAATACCCAATAGCTTGCGCAAATTGCAATATATATATATATATATATTGCAGCAATATATATATATATATATATTGCAATATATATATATTGTTATTTGCAATAAAAATATTTCTATTAAGAAATTGAAAAATAATAATTGCAAAATGTACTAAAGTTTTTCAATTTTTGTTTTTAGGTACGCGTTAGTCAAAAGGTTGAGAATCGCTGTGCTAGACGATATATTCCAAATCTCGGATGCTAGTAAAAGCCGCTGAACACTGGTAGTTCGGTCTGTAGTTCGAGTTCTGGCTGGTCTGGGGTTCGAACTGGCTAGCTGTATAAGCGTTTTCTTGTTTTTCTCCATGCGTAACGTGGATACTAGACAATTTCCTTAAAAAGTCCTCCACAGCGCATCCCTCTCTTTCCATGTACATTCTAATAGCAGAGCACGTAATAAATAAGCAAAATGCCGGATACTACGGGGGAGGCATGACAGTAGGCGGTGTTTCAAGTGATCTTACACATGTATCATGAACGACATGTCAGGGGTGTCGGTCTTTAACGGATATGTTTGAAAATGCCATAAGCAGTTGTGGGCAGGAGTGGGAGCACTGAACATATTGTTATTCTGTAAGCTCCACTTTGCTAAGCTGGCATCACTGCAAATAGAACCATCGATGTTTGGGTGTTAAAAATAGCCCGATATAAGGAGCACTGGGATCGCAGATTCGTTTTCGCGAAATGGCTTGTTGACACTCAGGAGCAGATTTATCTGTTTTGTAGCGAACTGGGTTGGCACGGAATATTCTATCCTCTCTACTTGTAAATGTTCTTATTCCATCTGGAGCCGGCCCGCAATTCATGGATTCTATTACGTATTCACTCGTCTCAACAGTGTCTAACGATATGGTTAGAACTATCCACTTGGCATGCCAAATCTCTCTGTTCGACCACTTTGCGGTTTTTAGCCTAATGATAAGGTCTCTGTAAAAGTCCATGAGTTGCGTAAATCGGCATCTCTGTCATCTACTTACCATTTTGTTCACTTCTGCTGGTCATTCTTCTTGCTTTCGTTGGTCAATAATTTTGGCGTTCTGTTGTGTTGACTACACACCAATTCATAAAGCTCTCGTTCTTTTTTCCAGCTCCATTGCAGGTGTTTGGTCATGCATAATCGTTTCAAAGTGGATCATTAGTATATCAACCACACAGTTATATAGTTTTTCCGATTCATCAGTTATATAGTTTTTCCGAACACATCAGTTATATAGTTTTTCCGATTGTACCAAGTTTTCTTCTCTGCGCGCAATTTCGTTGTTTGTGAGTACAATTCGACTAGTGTAATCTTAACTTTTAAGTATTTTTATGTATACAGTTACCCTCTCTTGAGTAGCAAGACTTTGAAAAAAGTTTTATTTTTATTTGACAAATTTTACAAATTTTAATAAAATTTCTGAATTTTTGTCGAATATTCTGCATATTATTCCATGTGCAAGATGTTCAATCAAAATTGCTGCACAACAACTTGTTAAAATAATTTTCGATCCAAACATTTTTCAGCTTATTAAGAGGCTGAGTTTAACTGAGAACGATTTTAGCGTTGATAATTTACATGTCATTTTTAAACTTTTTTAATAAAATATCAAGTAACAATTTATCTAATAATTAATACTCTAAACAATTGTAGAGACATTAGGTTAATTTTTGTAAGCAGGGAAGATGAAAAATAGCAAACGCTTTCGCCGGGAATCGAACCACGGACCTCTGAAATACCGGCCCAGTGTGCAGAACCACTACATCACGAAGGCACGCTAGGAAAGTGGGAGAAATACTTTATATACTCCTAAATGGCGACTGGGGTTTTCAGGGGACCCAATCGCCAAATCCTGGGTGTGGAGAAACCTCATTCAACACCCTTTTAGTTCGGGCGCCACTGTAGAGACATTAGGTATTTTTGGAGGAGGAGAGATCAAAAATGAGCAAACGTCTTCGCCGGGACTCGAGCCACGGACCTCTAGAATACCGGCCCAGCGTGAAGAACCACTACACCACGAAGGCACGCTAGAAAAGTGGGAGAAATACTTATACAATAATTAAAAATTAATGCTAAAATTAAAGTACTTACGAAACTGAAAGTTTTCAAAAATTTACGAACCAATGTGTTGGTCCGAACCAAAGTTTTGGTATCTACAAAACTGAACTAGAAAATTGAACTTATAAGCCTCTATATTATTAACCACTGAATTTCAAAAGCTGCGGATATTGTTCATATATTGAACCTAAATGCATACGTTCAGTTACATAGGATTTCAAAATAAGATGACAATTTCTATGAAAACAGTTTCAATCTGCAGACAGAACAAATTTAAAAAAAAAAAAAACTGATTTCGTATGTAGTCCTTTACAGCCGAAGGCCTAATGAATATAATATTCATTATACTTTAATAAGTTGACTATAGAAGGCTTTATAGCATTGTGTGCAAAATTCGAGAAAGTAATGGAAACCAATAGCTCTGAAGCTTTTCCATTTCATTCTACCTAATTTTTCACATATGTCAGAATATCATCCCTCCTTTTTATGACTTTTTGACACAGATACATTCCAAATAATATGATAAATTTTAAATATTATTTAAAGTATTTTATTTGTTAAACTATGTGGATTTACTTCGATTAACTGGAGCTTTGGTAAAATTTTACAAATAACTAATTATTAAATCTTTAAAATTTTCAGTTAAACTCAGTTTTGTTTTAAAATAAATTATGACCAACTCAATAAATTCAAAATAATTCTTTTTTTTTAATCCAACTGATTTTTATGAATATAACAGTCACTGGAAAATAAGAGATTGTTTTTTGTTCACCAAATCTGTAAAAGCGAGACACAGTTTTCTTTAAAACTTATCCACAAAGACATATTTCTTTCCTCTATACCTTCCTCATCCATACCTTCTCCGGAATTTGAATTCAAACCCAAGCCTATGGTAAACAGTTCCCCTACTTCCATACCAACAGGACAGCACTCTTACAACTTTGATCCTGGATATAAATGGTCGTAACACTATTCGCTGTTCGAGCAGTACTTTTAATAACGATATTGCTGCGAGTATTTTGACTCTTCTAATTTACTCTTTAGGAAAATTTTCTCTATTTTAAAAGCATACGATTTTATCCCACCTTTTTATCAACTGCTGTCGTTCTCTCCCCTCACGCCAACTTGTTTGGAATCCTACTTTTATTGAATAAAATGTCTTAATCTGTATTTAGATATTATTGAAGGCAGTAGTAGGATTCTTAAACTATCTGCTATGAAAATGCTTGTGTGTATTATTACTATTATTATTATAATTATTATTATTGCACTTAATTATTCATTTGCAGTGTTATCGCTCCAAGTTTTGAAATCAAAGAATGCGAAAACCATGTTCTTTCCGGTATTCGGTGAAATAGCATCTGAAAATGAAGCTATGAATTGGATGAATATGCAGGACAGGCTTATTATTCCTCACCAGGCTATTGAAGATTATGCAAAAAATGGTAATTGATAACTCTAATTGCCTTTTGTAAATGTGTTTAAATTATTAAATAATTCATTCCAACTAATTTATGCATTTTTAAGTATTAAAATATTACTCAAGGCTCAAAAATAATATTTTGCTTGGTATTCTCTCCTTCTGTACAAACTTCATTATAGATTACTTGGTTGCATAGAATACATATTTATGGTGGTTGACAGACTCAAATATGGATTTTTTAATCAAATGAACACTAGAATAACTAAACTGAATCATCAAAATACTAGCTACGCCTAGCCAATAATGTATAGCTCTTATATAGAGTCGTGTAACCGTGTTTGCGGGACATGGCATTGTATCAACGAAATATAGAAATTCTTTCAACAATACATCAAGCTAAGCATGTTCTTTGGCTATTCATAATGCAGCTCTATTTTTTGGGGGTCTCTTTGAAGCCTTTAGTAACGCTTGCATCTCCTAAGTGCTCAGCAGGATTTATAACTGAGAATCGCAAACGCCACTGGAGTACCTGCACATCAGTCTAGTTCTGCGTCTGCCACGCACAGTGAAAGTTGCGTCAGCCTGCTAGTGAGAAAATCATTAAGATATTTAATCATTGATTAAAAGTTTAAGCATTAATAAACAGAAACAAATGATCTACGCGATTATGTCACTTTTGTCTAAAATGTTGCCAGTGCACTTATGAAGGCCCTATCGATGATTCCAGTTGAGAATTCCTCACACTATGACACTGCCACCAGCTTCTACAACGTCTTGTTAATAAAGAGGATCCATAATTTAATGCAGTCTCCACCACATCCGAATACGTATGTCTGTTTGAAATAACGAAAAATTCAATTCTTTTGACTAAGCCACGTATCTCAATCAACTGACAATAAGCACGAATGTTTTCTGGCCCTTTCTGGCTCATTACTTTATGACATGCTAGCAAAGAAGATGCCTGAGTTGGCCAACAATTCTCAGACCTGCTTAATGCAATATTTACTATATCGTAGGCTGAATGATTCCTCTGAACTGAGATATGATTTAATCCAGTGTTCTTTATTTCGGGGTAATTTCGTAATTTCAGGCGTAGGCGAACCTATTCTTAAAATTAAAAGCACAGTGCAATCTACTGATGCAGAGATTACACGAAATTGAGACATGTTTAAGCACAGAAAACTAAAAATAGCGAACTACCGAAAAACACCGAGACAAAACTCACACGCAGCGCTAGCAATAAATCGCACAAGTAAAAAGCAATAGTCACCGATACGGGAAGGTTACCAACTACTTAGGATTAGCCGTAAAAGAATATAGTCAAACACTGAATTAGAAGCACCGGCACAAAAAGAAATTGCTGACCTCAACTCTGAAGATAAAATGGATGATAGGGAAAACTTAGGAGATTTTTCAGAACCTAAGAAAAAGCCCGTACACATATCTCCTATAGTGCTAGCAGATTTTAGTGCAAACTGGGAAGAACTGAAGGAATGGGTGTTCAAACCTCATAGGAAACCTTAACATTACACTCTGCATCATAGAAGATTACAGAAAGGTCACACATGTGTTCCAAACCGAAAGAGTCCCTTTCCATACCTCTTTAATCAACTCCGAGGAATCCGTAAAAGCTGTAATCAAAAGAATTGCCAAAAAACAGCAACACAGAATTGTTAAAAGATGAATTGATCCAAAAAGGCATCCCTACCAATGCGTCAGTTAACAAGATACAGAGATACTGTAATGATCCCCCACCTCTTTTACTTGCAGAAGTTAAATGCAACACAGATGGAAAGAAAATTTATCACTTGAGTCTCGACGTTTTTTTTCGAACCTTACAGATCAAGTCCTAAGCCCGTTCAGTGTTACAAATACCAGAGACATGGGCATACACATGAATTCTGCAACTACAAGGAGCGGTGCCTGAAATGCGCGGGGTCACACGAAACATTCTTGTGCAAACAAAAATAAAGATGAACTGCCTGCTATCCTTTGTAAGGGAAATCACGTTTCATCCTACAAAGGACACATTAAATATCCTAAAAATTGGAAGAAAGAATATAAAACATAAAAATTGAATCTTAATAAAGAAGATTTCCCATCGCTACCAGGCTTCAAAACACAGGAAATTCCCAAAGTAAATTCAGCTTAATCCGCCCCAAAGGACCGCCTGCAAGAACCCTCATCCTTCGATTGGTTAAAAGCACACCTATCTAAAGCAAAATGTTAGAAATTCACGAAATTTAAAACTTCTAAAACAGTTATGGAAAAGACTGCAATTTACATGGCCTTTTTTGAATATTTTACCAGCATCCATTATGAACTATAACGCTTTTCGACATTATACTAACTTGATAAGAGCCTTAAATAGCTACTTAAAAGTCTTCTGTTTTAATGCCAACGGCATCCGCAATCAATTGCACGATGTCGCAGATTTCCTTCAAAAACATCACAATGATTTCCTGTTAGTGAATGAGACCCATCTTCGTGAGTGTCACCGAATCAAAATTCAGGGATACACCACCATCAGAAATGACAAACAGCACAACAGAAGAAGTGGCACTGCGGCCATTATATAAAATCATAGCAAGCATGTTTTCTATCAACTATCAACTTTCTATCAACTATCACTTTTCGTTATAATACTCTAAATTATTAGCATAAAAAATCAAAATAATGTTTAATTAGTCAAAAATAAATAAACAAGTACATAAATAAAAGTTCTCAAATAGTGGCATAGATAGCAACAGGGTCTCAAATTATGAAACTTATTTGACATTTGTGTCAAAAAATAAGTTACACTTTTGCGCTCATGCTGCGTGGTGGCATGGTGGCAGTACAAAATTTTAATACATTTCATGGAAGAAGCTTTTTAATACCCGTAATTGGCGATCATTTAACGGAATACATATCTATTATGTTTAACCTGAATTTAATCATTAATCACAGAAAATGTTATTTTACCGTTTATTTGCTTGTGGTGTATATTCACATTTGTCCCTCACCATTTAAATACTGTTTTATGAGTTTGGCGTTATAAGGAACACTAAAGAAGCTTTAAGGAATGTCACACTTTGATTGTGAAGGCTTTTTAGATTTCCTGTCTCTTTCAAATATTAGAAAACTTTATAGTGCTTGTAAAAACTTAATGAAAAGCATACAATTTTTTTTATATGTTTGCGCTTTGTGTAGATATTTATATAGCTTTCTATTCACATGTTTTAAACCAGTACAGAAATAAAGAATATTTTATGGTAAATAAGCACACCTGGCTTCATTAAGGAAAAGGCAATTAACTGAGAAAATTGTAATAGTTTTTTCCAACTTTTCTCCCATTCCACTGATTGTCCCTTATTATGATCATAAGTGACATTTTTACTATCACCGCCTAAAACTGCGATAATTTTATTGTAGACTATGCTTCTTGGCGTATTTAAATTTAAAAATAGTTCTGCAACTTTAGACGGTTTAAGAGGAGTATGCGGATAAAATAATAAGAATAAAATAAATCAGGAAAATAAGAGTTACAACTTCAGTATTTCAGTTAGGGGTAAAACATTCATGACTAGCAAATGGAGACAGAACACTATTTAAACCCAATGGTATAACAAGCTGTAATAATATTGAAAATGAGATGTCAATAAACAACTTAAATTTTGAATAAGAGGTGTAAATATTGTGAAGTCTCCTTAAGACGCATGCCCACGGTTTCAGGCGATTTGGGTCTTCTGTGAAGATAGAAACCTTAAATGTAATGTTCAATATCAATGTCTGTTATGTTTTTATGGAATACTGACCATTTTTAAGAATAGTTATCTAGGAAAAGTGATTACGATGAGAGATTTCTCTGCATTTTCAAACTGCATTATTGTTAATTCATGGTTGAACATCATGAATGAAAAAAAAATATTATTGTATTCCATAATGTCTCTTAAGCAAAATATTTAATAATTATTTTTAAATTTTACTGACTATCTTTCATTATTATGTTTTACTAAAACTTGTGGGTTTTATTATGTTTAGGCATGTATAAAGTGGTGTTTACTGCTTTCAACAGACTTCATAACCTTCTTAAGCCAAGTTCAGCAATTTTCCAACCTACTCATGGACATATTTCTGATAACATCACTCGTATAATTAATTCGAGAGTCATAGGTGCTGCTTTAGATAGACGAGGAAATCTGAAACTTTATCAGCCAGTTGTTATAACTTTGAAGCACCTTGTTGTAAGTATTTCCTAGAATTAATTTTTTCACATCTATAATATCTTGTGTACCATTATTAGAGTGTTGCCTTTTGTAACATTATTAGAAGATTAAGAATTCATGAAAATACAGATCAAAAGTTAAAGTAGTTTTCTTTGTGCGATCGTACCTCCATTATACTCGTATTATTATTATTAATGAAACAAAGAAAAAATTGTTGCTTCCATTTTTTACTTTTTTTTTTTTTTTTTTTTTTTTTTTTGATCAACATGAAATTTTATACATAAAGTCAAAATCCAGTAATTTCAGGAGTTTTATTTTGCATTTGCTTTTCTCAGTTTTGAAACTTTCAATTTTGTATTCAAGAGCGTGTTTTCTTATTTTAGAAATTTTCTGTATTTATTTTAATTTTCGTTACTGGTAATTGATGAATAGTTTCAGAGTTATACTGGCAAATGATAATATCTGTAGTGTTATATAGCTTGTAACTGAAAAGATGGTAACAACTTCAATGATAAAGACAGTAACGGTTGTACCTTTCATAATATAATGCGAATCGGAGGCTAAGTAGTTGGTATCTTCCGGTTTATCTAAGTTTACCTAAACAATTCGATCGATGTTGCGATGCAGGTATTGCAATTGGTAGTTGTTCATTCGACTGGTTTAAGCAAATATCAAACATTATTCATAGTAAATATTCGCGATTCGTTTTCTATATTAATTTACTTTATTTCCATGTTCATTTTTTCCATTCCACTGCTCATTTTATTACGAAAATTGTTACTTTTGACATGTTCCATTGTAGAAATATGTTTAAGTTTCCCTAACTTAAATTAACATTCTCATTTCCCCACCATGCTCGCTTATTTCAGAATTTTTGAAGACTTAATTGGTGCGTAGTTTTAGAGAAATAATTCGTAATTGCATGTGAAAGTTTGGCTTTAAAGCCGGTTGCTTGCTATTTGTAACGCCTGTTGCTTGCCGGTTGCTTTTCACTTCGGCCTCCCGTCAGAGTGAAAATCTGAAAGTAGATTTTGTTATGTAGAGATTCTGGCTTCACGTTTTTTCTAAATATTGGGGATTCCTAAGGAGAAGGAGAGGAAATGTCGAGAAAATAGAGGTTAAACGGTAGGCGTCAATAAAATTTATGTGAATAATGGGATACTTTCAATTCTGTGTATGAGAAGACAGAGAGTTGTTTCCTTTTTCCTTTAATGAGAAGTAACCCCTCAAAAACCCTTGACTTGGAGCCTTGGGGCCATTTATTGTTTATTTGTTCCTTGAATTAAGAGGCAAACAGAAGAGTGGGCAAACATATTATTTTCCTAAGAGACGTTTTGTCAGGGCGTGATGTATCTCGGAGAATTTCCCATGGCGAACGAGAAGAGAAAATAACCTACTCTTCTTTGTTAGGGCTCCGTAGAAACTAAACGCCGCACATATTTGGCTATGTGGTTCGGAAAAAAGTGGCAGATTGCGATGGCCCAGTTAAGTCCAAGTGTTTGCTTCGGAAGATGGCTTTTTAATAATTAGGGAGATTTTGACTAAAAAGGGTCTTTTTGGGGTGAGTTTTGATTTCTTTGAGTTTGATGTGGTGTTTGCGAAAATAAAGGGGTGGAAAGGAGTCAGAGAATGCGGTTGATACTGTGCAAAAGAGGATAGTCTTCTGGGCCCAACAGTGGCCGAGCGATAAAATCGTTCAACACTGGTAGTTCTGTCCAATTTCCCCATTTGTAACGTTCATACGAGCTAGTTCCTCTTAAAAAGTCTTCCACAAAGGTATCCTTCACCTTAAACAGATAGCCCTTGAGTGCTTTGCCATAAACCAAACAAAACGTATAGTCTTCTGAGATGGAGAAAGAAGATTTTTTTGCAGACGAATTAGAAAGACAAAACTGAGAATTCCAGTTTTTTAGTCTTTTAAGAAATGAATGAGTGATAAAGGTTCCTGACCTACACTGAGGAAGTGTTCCAGTTTTAGAGGCACTTCAGAAAAGGCAGAGAAATAAAGGTCTCTGATTGAATTTGAACAACTTTTTTGTGATTACGAAGTATCAAACTTCGGACTGATAATTAGTAAGGGACTTACAGTACTGCCTTCCAGCTGTTATGAAGAATAAGAATTCGGGCTATGTTCCTGTCTACGAAGTTTAATAAAGATTTACTTTGGAGTTCAGGGTCTGTGACTAATTATGACAAATTGTGAGATGATCATGTGTTTATATCTACGGCGTGAGATACAGAGTCTGTTTAGAACTGTTTACTTAGCATGTTGGTGAAAATGATTTTTGATTTAGCAAATGCCGATGCCTGCTGATGTAAGTACTCTTCACCTCCTCCTCCTTGTGTATGGTCATGATAATGCAAAACTAAGTGATGATTATGTAAAACTAAGTAACGATAATGTAAAACTAAGTAATGATTATGTAAACTAAGTGTTGAATGTAAATATTTATTCAGGAGTTCATTTCTAAGATAAGGATGATGTTTTTATTTGTATGATTATTGTGACGTTACTATGTTAATATGGTACTTAGGAAATTGTTTAAAAGAATTAATATTTTATAGCTAAGATAGATGTCAATCATCAAAAATGTCAAGATATGGAAATTAACATTAAATATCTAAAGAATGTATCCAGTAACCTCTGTTCTTTTCTGCAGGAAGAAAACGTGACCAACCCAGTGTGTGTTTATTGGGATCTCCATACAAGGTATTTCATATTTAATTTCTTATATCTGTCGTTGTATGGGAAAGTTCAAGTGCATTCATTGCAGATATTGGGATCTATGATTATGAATTATCATATTACATTTGTTCAGTCACAGCTTCAATGATTAAAATTTAAACAGCCGGAAATTGTAGCATACGGGCTTTCAAATGTATACTTTTATTACTCGTACAGTACCATTATATTTTGCATCAGTTCACCACTTTCCCCGCAAGCTATTTAGAAAAGAGCATCAGGGTCTCTCTTATCATTCATTTTGCATGTGTTTCGCTTATCCCTTTCTTCCCTGCCAGACACAAAGATTTAGCCTAGTTCTTAACATATTAAATCAAAAAGAACGGGAGTACTGGACGCCTTAGAGAGTAGTTTTGAAAGGTGATTTTGCGAACCAATGTGCTTTATATAGACCAGAATATTATGCTTTCCTGTTGTGTAACGTCTTTTATTTTCTTAGCTCCTTTTATTAAAACGCGGTTACACTGACTAGCAAGTATTAATTGCATCTTGAAATAAGAACGCTATTTTTTTTCCCAGAGTATATAAACGAAATAGAAAGAATGGGGAGGGGAACAAGATTTCTTTTCAGATTTACATAACATTTCTATTGCACATTTTAAGGAAATGAGAGATTTAAAATATTTTTATTTGAAAGTTTTAATTTCATATATATACGAGTAAATACTTAAAGTGATTAGAAATCATTGTTTGCTCAGAGTGGTTACTCTGTTGTGAAAACTGCGCGAACTACATAAATAGTAACTGCTGTCTCTGTTAATTGGAAAAAATTGTTTAAATGTCGGTGGGTATTTGTCCACAATATCAAAATTAGGGTAAATTAGACTGTTAAAAATCAGGCTTAATTTCCTCTGATTTTGATATCGTCGATGCTATCTTTTTTGACGATGTCGCACTTTCAGATAACAAACAAATCTCCCATTTAAATGACTGGCAGCAGTAAACCTTGCCCTCTCGCCCCCCCCCAAAAAAAATATTGCATTTATTGTCGGATTATACTTTAAAATCAAGATTAATATTTTAAAATAAATAAAATTAAATTAAAAAAAGATAAGAGTAAAGCTGAAATTGCCTCTTGAAGTACATCAATGGAATCCCATGGTGCAAGGGAACACAGTTTTTGAAGTACAGGTTTTCATTCATTATTAATAATCCAGATGCTATTTCATTATATTAATACTACTGCTTGCTAGAGAAAAGCAATAACATCCATAATAAAGTGCTTCACAACAATTATGCATTCAGAGAAATCAGTTACAGGTTTCTTACATCAAATACTTACAGGCAATTCCGAGAAAGTTAAGGTTTATAGCTTAATTTAAATTCCCTTGCTTAATATAAACTTAAACTTCTATGAGAATTTTCCCGGTGTTCCTTTCAAAAAGCTAAACTGTGATAAAGTCAATAATCTTAGAGATTAATTATTCGAGTTTATTGCCCTAACTGGAGACTGAAATGAAGTTTGGCTTCTTATAACACACTTGCATTGTGTGCTCATTTTATTGGGGCTTTGGTACAAAACAGCAAAATCTATACGTTACTTTGTCCAAAAGAGTTAGAAGATAAAATTTAAATTTTTACACTAGTGTCCTATTTATAATTTTTTAAAAACAGAATTCAGTATGAAAAAGATTTACTAGATAATTATCGATAACATTCAAACATAAATGTATTTATGTTTATGTGTAATCTTGTGTTAATATATCACATCAACTGAAATTCGTTTTTATCGATGAAATGCCTATCGCTGTTCGAGCGATTTCTGGCGAGTGAGCTGGCTGCACAGTACTTTGATGGTTTTCCCCTTATATAACGTTCAATACTTGCTACTTACCCTTAGACAATAAAGACATCTTCTGCTTGGACAGATAGCTTTCGCGAGTCTTGACCCAGAATCGGTTTAATGATAAGATAATCCTTTGTATGATAACTGCTTTATACCGTGCTATTTAATGATATCTGTTTATAGCATTACCAGTCATTAAAACTGCTGTATCATGAAGGAAATCAGGTAGTAGAATCATATCTATGTTACAAATACATTATAATGGAAGGATGACATGGTTAAAATTTTAGTTATTTGATTGAGGCACAGAACATGCAACGATCCAATACTGACAGCACTAGTAACAATTATAGCTGGGCATAGAGTCGAACAGACGTTTTATCCCTGTTACGTAATTGCAGTCCATATAGTTTCAGTTTTATGCCAAAACTCATCTGTCATACTCGTTGGGAGATTCGTTGTGCTAGTCTCTTTGCAACCATTGACCAGACGTTTTCATTCAGTGAGACAACTTTAGAGTGAGGAGCTGAGCAAGCTTTGTATTAAGGAAACGTAATCTAATGTAAGCAAATTGCAGTCTCACAGTGGCCTGTTGAAGGATGTCAAAGATATGGTACAGTCACAGGCATTAATATCTCAGTAATGTAACGATGGCTTGTCAAATTACCAAATATGCAAAATAAAGCTGAACAGAATATGTACACAGTGGCACGCCATGATATCAATCAGGTAATAATACCATGAGTAATGCAAGCTTCTAACATCTGTTCCTCTTCATGTGTCCATGCACTGAGAGATCCATCATGATGTTACAAGAAAAAGCAAGATTCATCAGAGAAAAAAAGGTGATTTCACGTCTCTGATGCTTTCATATGGTTTCCTGAATGCACCATTGTAGACACTGTTTTCTGTCAATGCATGACAAGCAGTGGTAACCTTGTTGACAATCCTTAGCATTTCAGACGCCGTCAAACCTTGCTGACATCGACAGACACACCGTCGTCACCTACATATATACATGGTGTTGTGCAAAACACCCATTTTTTTGCGTGGAGTACGTGATATGGATGTACACTGCGGGGAAAAAAAATGGGAGAGTTCTACATCTCCTGTTCTATTGGGCCGAAGGACGAAATTCAAACTTCGCTTTTCATGTTTCGAAAGCGCGACTTAAGATATATATTAGATTTATATATATAGCGTTGTTCTAATATAGGCATTTTGACAAAATATCGGGCCTCTTTTTAAATGGCATGCCAGTTTTTTTCGATTATTTCGATTCTACATCTCAAATCATGACTAGATATTAAATTTTGTAAAATTTAGTAGTGAGAAATTTACGGAGAAATTCAAAAAATTATCTTGGCGCATTTGTTTCAGTTTACGCCAAGAATAATTCACTTGGGCGAACTTCTTAATTTATAGCAACCTATTTTAGTTTCCTTTTTTTCATTGTACAGGAGCGGAAAAAAAGTCATCGTTCATGCTTTCAAATAATTTTAACAAAGTACGTCTCGCAAATTTAGTCAGAAAAAAACAAAGCCGAGCAAATTTAGGTGCCGATTTATCGTCCACCATATTTATAGTATACAGACTATTTAAACATTTCGAAGTTAGGTAACGACCGTGACAGATTGACTGCGTCCTCACTGGATCCACGAATTCACGGATTTTCCAAATGCCAGCTGACGGTGCTAAACACTTACACTGTGTCAGCACGCTTGGGAGATTGAACTGATTCCTTGGACTGTTATGAGCCAATACAGAGGAAAAGATTTCCAAGGATTCGAGAACTATAAAAGAAAAAGACCTTTGATCATAAGAATATGTATACTCAGTAATCCAATTAATACAATCCAATTAATAATTATACTCAGTAATCCAATTAATCAATTAATACTGTGCATTATTATTATACTGCACAGTATTAATTGATTAATTGGATTACTGAGTATAGTAATAGAAGTCTAAGCACAGTCCTTAGACTTCTAGTAATAATAAGTCTAAGGACTGTGCTTTATAGTTAAAACGCATGTTTTATATATTTTTATTTCATATTTAGTTATTTTATATACAACAATATTCCTATAAAGTGTATATTGAGCTGTGTGTTTGTACAAGTAGTGGCAACAACAATAATTTATGAATTCATTTATTTCACATTTTAATCAGTGTGCTTTATATTTTATGACTGCGTTGATCTGTTTGCTTTTATTCGCTAAGGGATTGGTCTGCTCAAGGCTGTTGGATTGAGTCTACTAACAAGTCTTACACTGTTTGCTTATGTGATCATTTGACAAATTTTGCTGTTGTAATGGATCTCCAAATGGATATGGTATGCTAAAATTTGTTTCTCTATACGCTATATCTTGATTAAAAAAAACGCGTTAATTACCATTCTCAAAATTACAGCGATAACGCTAAACAGAAATATTTTTCAGGCAGATTTGCAGAATTCAAAGTTATAAATTTAGAATAAGTAAGGATCCATGAGTTGCAGGACAGGCTTTTATAACATTCTTCGAAGAAAAAACTCTTAACAGAACATTTAAAACAACTACTTAGAAATAAATGATGTATAAATAGTATTTAGCAAAATTTGAAAATACAGGGTGCGTAAAGTATAAGGTGAAACCTGCATGCAAAAGTATTTCTCCGAAATAACTCTTCTAATTGAAGCAAGCGTATTTTTAAAAATTTTCAAATATTTTTTATTTTATTTTGAACTAGATAAATTTATGCCATCTTATAAGTTCTTTGATGCGTTACGTAGTTGCTAGGAAAGAATTAATGAACTTTTATCCACATATTAGAAAAGTTAACCTTAAATTTATATTAAAAACTAGTAGTATTAATATTTTAAATTATTTTTGCTGCCCATATTTTATGCATTGTTTACGAATTTAACTAGCGTGATTTAAAATGGAAATGAATCTCTAGCTTGCACAGGCGGAGCATTTTCCCGTTAAACAATTTAAAATTTAATCTATTGTTTCCTATTTCTATTTGTTGTATAGTTTCAAAAACTTATTGTTGTATTTTTCATTTTTTTTTTGTGTGTGTGTGTGCGTGCGTGTATGCATGTGTGTGTGTGTGTGCGTGCGTGTATGCGTGTGTGTGTGTGTGTGTGCGTGCGTGTATGCGTGTGTGTGTGTGTGTGTGCGTGCGTGCATGCGTGTGCGTTGTATAACATATTCAGTTTTGTATTACTGTTCTATTTCTTCGTTGTTTTATTTTGTGTAATTGTTTGTAAATATTCACTATTTCTGATTTCTTTCTTCTTATAGGTAACTCCCGTTGATTTGCATCATTTGCACATGATTATAACAACTAGCTGTGCATTTTCAGTCGCTGCCTTACTTCTTACTGTTATAATTCTGTTCTCTTTAAGGTTTGTAAGCTATTAATCATTCATTTCCTTAAACTGTATTTTTCTCCTTCATATCTGAAATGGTCTTTAGAGTGTGAGTTACTAAAAACAATCATACATGTGCTGGAGTCAAAAACACATGTGTGTGATCAAAATTAATTTTAGATATTCAGAACTTAATTTCTTAACCTGATTCTGAATTCCAGAACTGAATTCCTTAACAGAATAAAATCGAAGTTCTAAACTAGTAAAATCAGATCTTATGAAATTCTGTGACGTTACATTACTTTCTCTTCGTACCGGCTGCATATAAGCATTCTATACCGCACAGCGGGCATAAGGAAAATCCGTCATTGTGTTTGGACGTGTTTTCCGACGACGACATTATCTCTATGCTTGGGAACGCCTTGCCTATTGAAGTTCAAGCGGGATTCTCGTGGTTTTGTATAAGCTGAATGACTCGCGTGAGTAACACTAACGCGTAAAAATTATGGTTTGTTTTCTTTTTATCATAATAACGCCAGACGAAAAAAATTTACATATAGCTTTCTGCAGATGGGTTTCCTGATTCATGGAATAATAAAATGATAAAATCCTCCAAAGGTGCTGTTAATATCAGAAGCAATCTTAAATGCTTAGATTATATAAATAGCTGAGTTCATGAATTTAGTGCAAAAAACTGAAACACAGTTGAATACACGACGATCTCGACTCAACTGAAAGAAATTTTCTGCTCGTAAGTAATTTTATTGAATTTGATTCCTTTCACATTGCAGAAAATATTTCATCTGCAACTGCATATGTTATTACCGTGTTAATGTCCATGTTTTTCACATTTCTAATATTCTCTTACCTTAAAGGAAAAAGTGCATTCTGTGTTATTGCTGAATTTTATATACGTGTATAAGAAAAGAAACTTCCTTTTGTGATATGCATTGTTCTTATACAAAGGTACAAAACATGTTACACATTAAAAAGTTGGAAATATTCATAAAGTAATATTATTCAATTCAAACATCTCTTGTTCTCTGTTCCAGATGTATAGTAGTCTAACTTCAAAAGTAAATTTATTTTTCAGACTGACTGCAAATATCGTGAATTTATTGTGCATTATGTTAGTTCCCAACATTTTTGCTTTTTGCAAATCTAATTTGTCTCAGGCTTTCGGAGACTACATTTGTAGAGCGTGGATGTGTAATGAATATGAAATAAGGAAATAATAATCTGACTGCTTTAATATGAACGGTTTTAAATTAAGATAAAAGTTAAATACATTTATTGAAAACCTCTTGCACCGAATATTAATACACATTTACGGAGTTAGCACACTGAAAGAAATAATGCTTTTTCTTTTCTGGGGGGACACATCTTTTATATTAAATTCACCACACTGTAGTGCCGTAAGAAATGTAATTTCATGACAACAAAAATGCAATGCACTTCATTAACAGTAATAGTGTTTTCGGTACTGCTATCAAAATGTAAACAAACGGTGTGCAGGTGTATTATTGAGCTCAGGTAAAGTTAAGGCATCTTAAACATAGAGGAAGTGATGTTATCAGAAGCCTTATCCAATCATGAAGGCGAATTTTTCTCTATGCGCGCAGAGCGGTACGGAATGCTTATGTGCGTAACGGCTTGTGTTGTCAAAGAAAGCGGTTCTTCTCCCTTGGAGTAACCTGTAACATGAAAACATACATAAGGCCACCCAGTGATCATTTTCGTGCCCATATTTCGTTATACGTCTATCCGAAAAGGTTTATTTAGCTTTAGAATTTTATTTTTATAATTAAAAAGGTTGTTTAATTTTAACCATACTTTTGGCGCATCATAACTTTTCAGGTAATGCGCCTGAAAAACCAACCAACCAACCTGGCTCAAAAGGAATATGCCTGTGCTCATGATCGCGATCATTTTAGGCAGATATGAAAGTATTTGAGATGCTGTATTTCAGCATGTCATCATTGTCTGGTGGTTGTGCAATTAAGAACTTAAGTTATCATCCCTCTCCGTCCAAGCACAATGGAGCATGTTGTTTGTTTGGTGGGTTGATTAGGAAACTGTACACTACAGCTTTCAATATATGAAGAGGGATGCCCTTGTGGAACAATTCCTAAAGCGAACTGGCTCTTATTTATGTTACACATAAGAAAAACTTTCAAAACGCCCATGCAGCCAATCATTGTTTGGGATTCGAACTTTAAAATTCTTTTTCACATCTTTATGCACATTTTTGAAGCTCATATACATAAGTTTTCTGCACATGTGAGTGTATGAAATATGTATGTTCTTCATTAAATGTGGAGGTTTGCGTGCATATTTTTAATATTTTATGTAATGTATTATGTAATTTTATGTAATTATTACATTTTATGTAATGTAGTTCTAACTTTTCATGTCTTGTCCTCAGACTGAATAAAACTATGTATAAAGTAAAATAATGAGGCAAATATGATTGTTCAATCTCTTGAACATACTTTGTTCATTATTTCAGCTTGGATCTATCAGAGGATAGCACATTTATTCACAGAAATATGTTTCTCTGCCTTCTCATCTCGGAGCTTGTCTTCCTTGTTGGCATCAAGCAAACAAAACATTATATTCCATGTGCCATTGTAGCTGGACTTCTACAGTACTTATTCTTAGTTATCTTTTCTTGGATGTTTTTCGAGTGTTACCATCAATATGTGATCCTTATTCGATCTTGTAATACCAAGAAAGAGAAATTCTGCTGGTATTATGCAGCTGCATATATCATACCTGGAATAATTACTGGAACGTCTGCCGTTGTAGATCCTAAAAGCTATGGAACCGAAAAATACTGTTGGCTACAATCTGATAATTACTTCGTCTTTAGTTTCGTTGGCCCTGCTGTTAGCATAATTTTTGTGAGTATCCTGATTACGAAAGCTTACTTTTTATATTTTAAATCTATTGATAAAAACAAATTTAAAAATTTGAAATTTTAAACACAAATTTTAAGGAATTAACTCTTGATTTGATTTCAGCGAAGATGTAATAGTTTGTTCTTTACTTTGTTAAATGTATTATCACATATAAATTACTACTTCACTACTTGCTTAATACTTTTAAAGTACTTTCATTTCCATTATAAAGGTGTTTTTTAATTTTCACATACTTGTAATGTAATATGTATTATTCTTAACTTTCAGTTTTAAATGCTGGAAGTTTATTAAAGTACTCAACAGTTTTTTTAACCAATATATTTATATATATATACAGCTTAATTTTTATGCCTTGAAATTTAAATAATGTTTATTTTGTTACATAGGGTGGTCTAGTTTTCTTATGCATTACATTATGTATGTTCTCGCACAACTTGTCAATGACTTCTACTTTAAAAGACAAAGATAGTGCAAATCTACAGAACTACAGGTATCTAATTAATTCTGCTTTCTTATTTCTTTAAATGTTTTAATAAATGCTAGTTCTTAAATTAAGTGAAATATTATGGAAAGCTAAGTGCTTTCAACATTATAAATCAATACTTGGAGCTACTAGCGGAATTAGAAAATTTTGCATTTTTACAGTGCATTATACATAAAGTTGTTGAAGTATTTAGTTTAGTTAACCCATTATATTATGATCTGAACTTTGCTATCAATTCTACTTTTCCTTAGCTTTTACCATGATGTAAATGAGATAGGCATATTAGTACTGTCTCAATAGCATTATGGGCCTTTGAGCAAATGAGTGGGCTGGGAGTCCATACGACAACCACTCACAGAAATGAAATGTAAATTGCCGATAATATTAACCATATCTTTATTTTATTGGTATTGTCTAACCAGTAAAACTGACGTAAAAATACAACAGATGACACAGTAGGAAATTTCTACAAAATTCTTATTATAATAAGTATTTGCAAAGTTTCTTTTCAGAGATGTGTGTGTGAGAGAGAGAGTATGGCAAAGCCTCGAGGGCTATCTGCCTAAGAGGAGGGATGCCTTCGTGGAGGACTTTCTAAGGGAAACTGGCTCGTATACACGTTACACATGGGGAAAACCACGAAAACGCATGCAGCCAGCCCGTTCGCGGGATTCGAACCTCGGACCGAACTACCAGTGTTCAGCGACTTTACCGCTCGGCCGCTGGTGGGCTCTTTTCAGAGAATTGCTTTGTTATTGACTTGAAGACAGTGATTTTTCAAGATGTCATTTCCCATGCACATGAGTAAAATCAGAACAAACATCTGCCCTGTTGTGCTATGAAGCATATTTTTTATAAGTGTCAGTCTGGAAAAGGAACTTTCTCCTGTATAGTTGGTCATCATCATGCGCATAACCAGAGTTAATTAGTTGTCACTGAATTTTTCTCTAGTTTCCTAGAGACTGGTTTTCAAAGATCCCAGAAGATTCGGGTCAATAAAAATGCTCACATCCTGTGATTGCACAGCCTTGTTTGTTTTCTTCATCCCTTTAAATTTTAAATAATGTTATTCCAAAGAATTGTGATAAAGGTAGCTTCCAGGTTTTTTATTTCCTTTGCTCAATCCTTCTGCCTCTGACCTTGTATTCATTAGTTGTCCATTGTCAGCTGGTAGAGAATCCTGTGCATATTTTATTTTCTCGAACGTCCATACAGAGCATGCACAACATCAAAATATGTCATACAGATATTTGACCACAAAATCTTTTCCTGAAAATGATGTCAGAAGATTCCACTGATGAGTAGAACTAGCAAAAAATGAATACAGATGCTGAACAAAGACAGACTCTGTAGATAAAAATTTTCTGCTTTTACTCTTTTATCTTCCTCTTCATTCAGGCTGTGTCCAGTGCAGAGGACATAGATGCAATGTGGAATTGCAGAAAAATATGTAGCTATTATATAGAGGCATCAGAATTCTTCAGCATTCTTATAAGATGCTTAAGTGTACTAGGTATCTTTCATCTTGCTTAGGCCCACTTATAGTTTCATGGAATCATTAGTTAATAGTAGCGCAGGGAATCAGTTTCACTGTAGGCTTTGAAACAGAGTGAATTCCAGGGTAATGTTAGTAACATTGGCATTCAACTTACAGCACAGATTATGTACAATACTTTACACTAAATCTTTCATAATGCATCGAAAAATGTTCATGATTGGTAATATCTCGGTATATGCCATTCATTCCAGATTTTGGGGCGTATTCCAAACGAACTTTTCCAGTAAGAAATAAAGGAATTAATCCGCCCTTATGAAAATGTTATTGTAATTATTATAACACTGTGTAAGACTAAAGTACTACAAATGTAGTGAGTCAATATATGCTGCCAGAGCCTTGCTTACATACTTTTGCACCTGAGGCAAAGAACTAAAATCGCGCCCCTATATGAGAAAAATTTGAAGAGTTAAAAAGAGATATATGTAAATATGTTATTATTGCAGGCAATACAGGTTAACTATATCTGTCAATTTTTGTATGCATAAAGGTAGCTATTTTAAATCATAGTAACTATAAAAGTCTCTTTCTCGAGCAATTTTCGAGAATTTGTTTCTTCAGACAGACTAAAGAACTTGTGGTGAAAGTGACGTAGGAACCTCGAAAAACCGATCGAGAGAACTAATGGCCCGAGGAAAAGCGATAGGGAGAGGAGGATGTCTGAGAAGGAGGCTGGTGTGCATGTGTGAGAAGATAGCTTGAGAAATGAAAATGTACTCGCGTATACTGTAAATAAGCAATATATAGTAGTTTCTTGTGTGTAGTATTAAGAAAGATGTACATATGAATACCGTAGTGTTAGCTGGAAGCTCCTAGTGGCGCGAATATATAGTGGCACAAACGATTGAGGATACACCTTACTTTTACTTGATAAATCCAACTTTCAATCGAAATAACACATTAACTAGAAGTGCAAACGTACTTTTATTCTTAGACATAACAAAAGGTTTAATTAACAGTAAAAATAAAGAAAAATCAACGACAAGATTCTAAAATAAAAATTTTCAGAGGCATTTCAAATAAACATAAGCAGATTTTTACCTCAAAAAATTGAGGATACACCAATGAAATTTTTGTTTAACTACCACTAGATTTTTTTTCTGCTTGCTATTATCATAATCTAAGTTTGGGCAATTTTATCTTAAAATTTTTCGACTGTTATTTTTGTCTTTTGAAGTGTTATGTGAATTTAAAGTCGCAATTTTAAATGGAAAATGGCTGCTCGGAGAGAGACCAGTATTGATGTAAGAAAAGTTATATTAAGGTTATTTAAGAAAGGAAAATCTTATCGTGAAATAGCTGAAATTGTCGGAAGCCACTCGTGTGTAAAGAAAATCATTGAAAGATTTAAAAGCGATGGATTAATTGAAAGGAAAAAGTGGAAGAAGAAGGAAAAGTATTCTGAGTGATGTAGCCAAAAGGAAAATTTTGAAAGATATCAAGATTGATCTTAAACTAAGTGCAGTCAAACTAGCCGCAGAAACTTCTCGAATAGTGCACTTCACTTCTGTGCAGAAGTGTAAGTGCTGAAACTGTGAGAAATGTGATTAGACATGCTGGATATGGCAGTCGAATAGCTAGAAAGAAACCATTTATAAGCTTACAAAATCAGAAAAAGTGTTTGGAGTTTGCAAAAACTCATCGATTGAAGACAGATAACTTTTGGAAGAAATTTATATTTTAGTCATGAAAGTAAATTCAACATTTTTGGAAGTGATGGTAGTCGCACCGTTTGGAGAAAGCCGAACACCGCTTTGGATCCAAAAAATTTACGTCCTACAGTTGAACATGGTATGGTGGTGGCTCCGTCATGGTTTGGGTGTGTATGGCTTCAAATGGCGTAGGAAATTTAGTTTTTATAGATGGCATAATGGATCATAAACTTTATATAAATATACTCCACAACAATCTTAAAGAAAGTGAAAACATTGGGTTTAGATGGAAATTTTATATTCCAGCACGACAACGACCCCAAACACACGGCACATAATGTCAAAATGTGGTGTCTTTTTCATTGTAAACAGCAACTGAAAACACCACCACAGTCCCCTGACATCAATGTCATAGAACATTTGTGGGCCACACTCGAAACAGCGGTCCAAAAACACCAGATTAGGAACAAAGCCCATTTAAAGCAAGTGTTACAAGAAGAATGGTATAAAATATCTCCAGATACCACCAAAAAATTGGCCGAATTGGTACCAAGACGTTTGGAGGACATTATGAAAGCCAAAGGACATGCAACCAAATATTGACACTGTCTTTGTATGTGATATATCACAAAAATTTCATTGGTGTATCCTTAATTTTTTGAGGTAAAGATCTGCCTGTGTTTATTTCAAATACTAGTGAAATTTTTAATTTTAGATATTTTTTTGTTGATTTTCGTTATTTTTACTGTAAATTAACCCTTTTGTTACGTGTGAAAATAAAAACACATTTTCTCTTCTAGACCTCTGAGCGTTATGACCGGGTTAGGCGGTCAAGAAGGCCTACCTCGAAAGCGTTACTGACGCTTCTAGGCGGTCAGTGGAAAAGTGTTCGAAAGCGTTACTGACGGTTCTAGGCGGTCAGTGGTGAGGACCTCGAAAGCGCTATGACCGCCTTAAAGCGGCCGTGCAGATGTCTCAGCGCCCCCCTTATTTCTGGAACCCTCGAGTTCTCTAAATGACAACCCTCGGTAGGAATTTAAAGTGTTGCTCTTCTTCGTTTTAGATCTCTACGTTTTATCGACAAGAGAGTGTTTAGACATACGACAAACTGACGCGAACATTCTTCACTAAATAAATAAGCAGCATGTAAAAATTTTCCAATACTATCTTTAAACAGATAACATTTTCATAAAATATCCTTTAGATTTCAAAAATATGCAAAATGCTTGTGAATTCAATTAAAAAATAACATTTCAAAATATTTGCATTATTTAAATAAATTTACTTATGATTATGTAGATGCATAAAACCGGCAAGTTAAGAACTTTTAATTAATTCGCGCGAACCGAATAGTACTGCATTCAGTTAACCTGAATTACATAGAATTGCATATAAAGAATAACATTACTTAATCAATACGTCAGATAAAAATTAGAAAATGAATAGTCTATTTTAATAAATTATAATAAGCGTATTCTTGATAGGGGTTTATAAGACACAAACTAATTTAATAGTAAATATAATAATAGCGAATTAATTATTCTTTTTGGAGCAATACTCATCGCTTATACTGGTTTGCTAAAGTTTTGTTCTAATGCATTTTAAATCATCCAATGCTTTTAATGTACATTGATATGAATGTGATTTTTATTAGAAAAAATTTTAATAAGTTTGACTTTCTTGTGTGCTCATGCTTTACGTAATATATATTACTTTGCTCAATGAAACTACAAGCAGCAACGAAGAGTTGAGTTAAAATTTCCATATTTTGTTACATAAATTATTAAAATACTATACAG